TATCCTGGACTATAGTATGAATATTGTTCCATATTTTTAACTTATAAATCTCATTTATTCTTTGTTTATTTGAACACATAAATATTGGTACAAGGGGACACCAGATATATATGCGCCACACAAATCTCATTTGACTTGTGTGAGGGCTGTGATACTGCCAAGGTGCCCAAACTGAAGCAAGTGGATTTCTCATGCAGCCACACCCGGAGCCTTTGACTTAATGATCTGATCCACAAGGCAGTGGAGCAACGTTAGAAGATGCAGTCTCGTGGTAGCCAGTGACCAAAAATTCATTCATACGACATTTGTTCTCTCAGGATACTGGAGCCTTAGTGCACCATTGGTTTAGAATCAGGATTTTGCAACTCCGTTAGGTGGACTCGCAGTGTCCACTAACCCGGTTAAAGTGGCGGACATTCGCTTTTCGTTCTCTGAATTTTGTAAACAACAGCAATGCCACTGTGAGAAGGCAGTGAGTAGGGCTTCCGTGATAGAGGCTATATATGCGTGGCCATGTGAGAGTATTTGTAGAGGGAGAACGGACTCTCCTCACTCTCGGCCGTGCCAGGGCATTTAATCCTATTTCTATTTCATTTCACTTAGCACTGTGAACTGAGTAAAATTATTTCCTTTTCGTCTACTTTCCATTTTTTCATTTTCTTCTATTTCTGTAATTATGTATTTTGTAGCAAAATTGGACAGTACTGTGTCAGCTGTTGTCTTGATTTTGACTGAATGACTAACTAATCTGTTCCAGATTTGTTCAATTTTTTTTTTTTTCAGAGACGAATAATAATTGGCAAAAAATGTATACTAATGTGTAAACACAAGTTTTCATTAAAGTAGTATCATCTTATTTTGAACTCTCCATCCGAATCTACCTAGATCTCAATGTCGATATTCATATCGACACTTGAACACAGTACCTTTCATTTCAAACATTCAATATATTATCCACTTAACCATTGAGTTCAGTTGGCTAAAAGGTGGTGTAACACATATGAATTTTACTTTAATTTTAAGTATCCGTATTTTCTACTTGTTGATGTTAAGGTCTGATAATCAATATCCAACTTTAATTAAAACATAATGAATACTTTCCAACAGAGTTTGCCAGTCTTAACACCAACTACAGTAAAATAAAAATCCTTACAAGTAATGCAGTGTAAATATTTGGGTTAAGTTTTAGAACCATCGTTACTTGAATACATGTCATCATGATAGACTTATCATGTCTGAATGTAATAGTCAATCAGTATAGATGAATCACTTATTCATTTATTTATTCAATTCTATTTACCATCAATAAGGAAATGTTTAGTTTATTACGTCATAATTCATAAATAAAGTCAAGTAGTATAGAATCTGGTTACTATGTTGTCCATTCATCTCATTAATTAAACTAATCTTTATGCACATATATAATGGAAGGTAACTTTCTAGATGTTGCTCTCCTTCCGTCATCCATCTCTTTGCATACCGGTAACCATATAAATATATATCACTGTACCAAACATTGTTCACTTATGACAAACTAATCTCTTAATGTTATTATTATCATCATATCATAATGGCTTTTTGGTTGCTTGTGTGTACATAATATGTAATATGTAATAATTGCAGAATTAATAATGAAACTATGTGCATATGTGCACGTATGAATCTGTATACTATAATAAGATGGATTGAAGGGTTATTTGACTCGGAGGGGGGTGTAATTACTGGGCATGTTTTATATCACATTATTCTTACCATTTATATGTTAATTATTATCCATTCATATTGATGAAATAATTAACTGGTCTCTCTATTAAATTTATCTATGATAAATTTATTTCGTTAGTTACTCTAGTTTACTGTTTCATTTTTTGTATGACTTTCTATAATGCGAACGACAACCATGATGATGATGAGTGTTCATATTGTGAAAGTGATTGACATTTATATCGTTTTAATCTAAGTCATAGTAACTAATCTACATGTAATTAAATATATACAACTTCAAAATAAACATTATACATTCATAATAGTTATTTAATAATGACTTAAATGAATTAAAAAACTGACCATTTAATCATGTTTTAAATAAGATTTGAAAAGTTTACATTGATTGATCTCTCCACTCTCTCCGATTGTGACAGGTTAAAATCATGCAAGAATCAACAATCTCTTTAAAAGTCTATATACCTCGTACTTACTGATGTCAACTAATATGAGATCTAGATTTAAGATTCTCTGTCCGTTGCCTTCCACCACTTAAAATCTAAATTCTAATGTAATATTAGTGACTTGGATTGAGATCACACTGGGTGCAACAGTTCCTTTAAGAACATAATAAGTTTTCCTGCCGACTATCTACGATCACATTACATCATTTAGTCAATAGTTAGACTAACGTCGAAACTGTATTGTAAATGGTCTTCAGTAGTATAAGTAGTCTTAACTTATCTAAACTTAGTTATCCTGTATTTGATACAACTATAACTGATTAAACACACAACTTTCTCGACTATATCTGAAGGTTAAAAGCCAAAGGAGATTTCTTTAACCTTCTAAAGACAACTAACACTGATGTAAATCCCTCAAAGTTTATCATTTCCGTTAAAAATGCAGGCATGTCTTGGGGTTGAGTGCCATCTAACACGAAACATAGATTCACGGTTTCTTCCAGACTATTTTCAATCATGTAACACCAAAACATAGTGTACATTATGTCAAATTACTCACACAAATGACCAAGTTTTAACTTGGTCAATTGCATTCACTTAACCTGAAAGACTAAATAAACATAAATTCACTTAGTATTGTTTGTTTGGATCTTCCCATCGATGTGTTTAGGATTGCAACTGGTCAGTCTCTAATTAGCATATGTGCATACTGTGCGTATTGCCTCGATATACCTTAATTCACAAGCATGGTAAGCAGAGATGGATAGTGGCTAGCAGTGGAATCCAGGACGCGCGTTTCGTCCTATTTGGGACTCGTCAGCTGGATGTACCTGCATCTCAGAGTTGATGTTCACTCTGGGACTCGAACCCAGTACCCTCGCTTCAAACGCCATCGCGTTATCCACTGCTAGCCACTATCCATCTCTGCTTACCATGCTTGTGAATTAAGGTATATCGAGGCAATACGCACAGTATGCACATATGCCAATTAGAGACTGACCAGTTGCAGTCCTAAATACATCGATGGGAAGATCCAAACAAACAATACTAAGTGAATTCAAACTTCACCCCATCGCACAAGCAAGTGGCTATCAGGACTCAGTGGCCGAGTGGATAACGCGATGACGTTTGAAGCGAGGGTACTGGGTTCGAGTCCCAGAGTGAACATCAACTCTGAGATGCAGGTACATCCAGCTGACGAGTCCCAAATAGGACGAAACGCGCGTCCTGGATTCCACTGCTAGCCACTATCCATCTCTGCTTAAATAAACATAACTTTAGTCACTAATCAGTAATCAATCAATTGTAAATTACACAAGAAGATTACAATTGGACATGTTAATAATTTTTGATCATTTCAATATATTTTGATAAATGCAATCATCATATAGCTGTAAACTTGAAAAAACATTCCATTTCATAATTTATTAGTAATGATCTATATTTTCAGTGACAGACATTATTGTATAAGGATTAAAGGTGTTTGAAGACTGTTGTGGGGCTGAATAAAGTGTAATAACCCATCTTTGAGAAGAAGTCAACATTCTGGTTAGATGAGATACATGAATTTCATTAAGCTATTTTCATTATGATAACTGCTCAGTCTTCCAGATTAACTGAGTTTGTAAATGTGAACGATTAAATTTCAACTCATTAGTCCTGAGAACTGAAGGTTATATCGTTCGATTTCATCTGAAGTTGTTTATGAGGACGGGAAATAAATTTTTAGTTAGGACTAAATAGCTGTCATGTAATCCCTATTTTTCGCTAGTTTTCTATTTGATGTCATTGATGAGATATACTGATCACGAAATCTAAGAAAATGCTGTTTATATTTTGACCATGTTCACGGTGTTTTCAATCTTACACGTATTATGATCTCAGTGATTCTTTGGTTTATTGAATGTTGAAGGTAAAAGTTCTTACAATTTCCATGTTTAAATATGGAATAACAGACAGGCAATAATATCTGAGTAGTAGGACATAAATTAAGCAACCATGTAGTGGTTCATAATAAATGAACATAAATACTAGCCTTCAAATTCCCTGGTACGCCCTCAAATGCCCTGGTACGGCAGAGAGTGGGGAGAGTTCGCTCTCCCTCTCCAAATGCTCTCACATGGCCACGCGTATATAGCCTCTGTCAGGGAAGTCCAAACCAATGGTGAACATGGGTTCCAGTATCCTAAGGGAACAAATGGCGTATGAATCAATTGCTGGTCACCGTCTACCATGAGACTGCATCTCCTCACGATGCTCCACTGACTTGTGGATCAGATCTTCAGGTCAAAGGCTCCGTGTGCAGTCCCCTAAGAAAACCATCTGCTTCAGTTTGGGCACCTGGTCAGTATCACAGCCCTGACACAAATGCAGCGCATATGTATCTGGTGCCCCCTTGTACCAATATCTATGTGTTTAAATTAAAAAAAAAAACAATTTCTCTGTATCAGATCAATTTATCAGTGGTTCATTTTAGTGCCTTATCCTATGCTTGACAATACAGAATAAGTTACTTCTTCGTTAGCTTCTAAACTAACCTTACCATAAGGTTCTAAGGTCTTCACTTCATCTCATTCACTCTATTCGACAGCGATATAACTAAATGATTTCAGAATGAGCAGTAGTAATCTTGTAATAGAATTATTGTTTATTATCATACATTATTTATTATGAATGGATAAAATTGTTTACCACATTTCATTCATTATACTCTAACCGTCTGTGTTTAGTTCAACTTTCCAATAATAAGTGTTGATTTGCTATGCTTCATTAATTTATAAAACTGATTAAACTGTGTAGATTCTTTAAAAAATTCTTTAACTATTTTTTTAGAGAGGGCAGAATTTTCAAATAAACTAACATTGACTGAAACACAAGTGAAAATATGGTTTCAAAATCGTCGAGCAAAAGCTAAACGTTTGCAAGAGGTTGAAACTGGCAAATATCATTTATCACCAAATGAAAATTTAGAAACAGTTTTAATTGCAGCCATGTCATCAGCAAATCAAGCATCACAATTAGATACTACAAGTAGTAATAGTAATAATAATAATAGTGATAAAAATTATACAGGACCTATGGATATGATAACTCATGATATGACATCATTTCATACTGTTCCAGTATCACCACCACTTCCTATCTCATCAACATCGGTTATTTCAACTCCTTTATCACTTCAGTCAAAATTTCCCTTTCATCCTGTATCCACTTCTCGAATTCCATTATCTTCTAACACACCAAATTCATCGCATCAATATTTATGTTCATGTATTTCCCCGAATCACCAGTGTTCATACAAATCTACAGAAATAACTAGAGATAATCTTTTACATCCTCCTACGACTTGCATCCTTTCATCTTTACCAAATTTATCATCACCATTATCCGCAGATCATTTATACACACATAATCACCCTAACGTCAATAATAATAATAATAATAATAATAATAATAATAATAATAATAATAATAATAATAATAATAATAATGGCAAAGTACATTCAAATTATGACTGTGACCAAATTTCATTCAATCCCAATAAACCAAAGTTATCATCAATTAAAAACTTTTCACCTGATAACTTTCAACATCAACTACAAAGTATAGATACAGTAAATTCTAAACATTTTCCCATAGCAACTGTTAGTAATAATAATAATAATACACCTCTTTTATCCTTTACTAAAAGTCATCCTAATAAAAATATCCCTTCTAATGATATGATTACTACTAATTGTGCTAATAAGAACAATATGAATGGTACAATACTACATAAAACATCAAAGCATACAATATCTTATTTTTCAAATGGTCAACGAATTGACAATCAACATGATAGTTATAGTAAACATATTAGGAATGATGATGGCACCAATAATAATAATGATAAAGATAATTTAATGAATATGAAATATGATTCTATGCTTGATTTTCAATCTATACTTAATAATCTTCAATCTAATTCATCAAATGGGATAAATAATTTGAAAACAATTGAAACATTGAGTGATCCATTATCATTATTATATGCAGCTAATCATTATTATCAACAATATAATCAGAGTAAAGAAACCGATCATAATTATTCAATTGATTTAAACAATAATCATAATTCAAGTATGTTTATAACTCTTTATATCAGAACGGGGTTTTGTGGAGATTTTTTAAAGTAATTTTATATAGTTGAAATCATGAGTTATTTGGAGCTAGACCATGATGGAAAACCTAGAAGCACTGCTTGACGACTAAATCGTCCTATTGTGGGACTCCTCAACAGTGCTCATCCACTATCCCGCACGCGAGCGAAATTCCAACCCAGGACCTATCAGTCTCGCGCTAGAGCACTTAACAGATAGACCACTGAGCCGGCCAGCATCCGATGGTGTTAATGTCTTATTTCAACCAATCCACGAAATTGAGCAACCATTCACCACAATAGGACGAGATGGTCGTTCAGTGCTTCCAGGTTTTCTATGGTGGTCTAGATTTAATTGATTCATGATCTCAACTATATAAAATCTTTATATATTTGATAAACCTTAACACATATTTAATTTGAAAATTGCTTATAAATATATCCCCAGTGACCGATTAATATAAACATCTTAGTTCTACAGAAGACCACTTGATACTTTCATAGCTTTGTAGTAATATTCTTGACTGTAATAGTAAGTTATGCAGGTATAAATCCTATGCTTAATATCGATGCTTTCATGATTGAAGATATGACTTGCGAACGGTTTGTCTAACGTCACGAATCCTGAATCTATCTATCTATCTATATCTACTTAATGATTTGCATACATATTGTAAATTATATTTAAAAGAACATTTTGGTTTGAAATGGAAAGTTGCTTCAATTGTTATATATATATATATATATATATATATATATATATATTATAGGTACCTGTTTCTAAGTCATTTTTAATTGTTATATTATTATACCGAAAGTTGATTCATAGATAACCATTTAAGAATAATAAATAGGATATTGATTACATAGAAAAGGGAAAATAAACACAAATAGTTCTGGGTACATTTGTTTATTTTATATTAATAATTCAAGTAGCCTACATTTTAAATGTATATTGTTGATAGCTAGATAATAGCTATGATATCCCGCATCCTATAATTAGTATTGTCATATACATATATATGCCAAATAATAATACTCCATCTATCTTACATATCATCGCCAGTATTTTTTTAAATATTCATCTTAGTATTAACTGATGGTAAGTATCCTAGTGCAGCTTAGAATGGGTACTATAAAAGTAAATATGTATTGTTTCCTACCTATTATTATTATTTCTCAAATAATTTAAAAAGATGAATGAATATGGGTGCGAAAATAGCAAACATTAAAATTGAAAACCAACTCAACTTACTAGAAAGATACTATAGAACAAGATTGTATTTGTTTATGTGGGGTGTGAATGAATGTATGTATGTTTATTTGAGCAGTAATGTACAAAGTGTTTTTCATTTGTATGTATATTACACATTAATAGGTACATTTCTAAGTTAGAGCAATTCAGTAGGAAACTATGAATGTATAGCATTAACTGTATCAAATGAATATTTATCTATAAATTTGAGTCTGTCATATTTAGATGGGGTTTATTTAAGATTTCAGCTTTTTCATAGTTGAAAGCATGAGCCGATTGAAGCTAGATCACCAAGGAAAACCTTGAAGCACTGAATGGCCGTTTCGTCCTATTTATTTGTTTTTTTTTTATAGTTTTAAATCACAAGCTGATTTTTATTAGACAATCAGGAAAAACTATAACCCAACGAATATATATTTCATTGCAGTACATGACTTCTCAGTATTCTGTATCGTCTACCTCACCAAGGATAGAAAGGAGAACTTTCAGGCCTTAGGACTAGTACTTAAACTTCAGATCACTAAGTTGGGATTCAGTGGTTTACATTCTCAAATTCATTTAATTTTTAATATTCCGTAACCATCTCTAATTGTCATTGATAATAATTGTCTGATTGTCAATAGGGCTGAACTCCACTGGTCACTGCTTCTCACTAGAACTCTAGGAATTACCTCATGAAGTCAGTCACAAGTAAGCGATAGTGGTTTGGTTTAGGCTAAAAATAGTAACAACTAGATGTTAACGTATTGTCTAAAGGTTAAGCTCCTGTTAAGTGACCTAAAATTCTTCGGTTCAATACTTATTAGGATCATGAATTCGCATGGATGAGGAGACATATACTAGAATAAAACAATTATTAATTGCTTTTTTGTTTTCAGTGTTTGCCTAATCGAATTAAGTTCATAATGTATGACTATAGAATTTAACAATCTTCACTATACATTATATCGAGAAGCATTGTACTCATTTTTCAAACTCTTTAAAATAAAACAATATTTTTTTAAAATTCGGAATTGAGATATTACTGAATAAATAAGTAGTACAGTGACAAATTAACTTTAAAGGAATAAATATTCATTTACCATATTGAATTATATTATAACAAGAAATGAATACTTAATTATATACATGTTATCAACTATGCTCTGGGTGTATATTTAGTAATGGTAGTAGGGTGAGTTTTTTTTATTTTCTCATTTAGTTAATATCATGTATTATATTTAAATAAGTTTCTAATAGACATTTTGTGAAATTTTTGTTAAATATTTGAAAAACTACTGAATAGATATTTAAATAATATGTACATCCTTGTGTGTGTGTGTGTAAGTGTTAAAAATTGGTACACCTATTAATTTGAATATTTAAAGAGATTTCAATTATTATTCATCATTCAGGTAATCAAAATTAACATTTATGCATGTAAACATGATTAGATTTTTTTATATGCCAGGGAAATCCTACTAACTGCCTTCTCGTGGTGGGGGTGTTGTTCACAAAAGTGAGAGGACGAAAAGCGAATGTTCGGCGCTTTAACTGGGTTGGTGGATGTGGAGGATCTACTTAGGGGAGTTGGAAAACCCTGATTCCAAACCAATGGTGCACATGGGTTCCAGTATCCTGAAGGAACGAATGGCGTATGAACCAACTGTTGGTCACCGGCTACCATGGGACTGCATCTCCTAACGATGCTCCACTGACTTGTGGATCAGATCTTCAGGTCAAAGGCTCCAGGTGTGATCCCCTAAGAAAACCACCTGCTTCAGTTTGGGCACTTGTGCAGTATCATAGCCCTCACACAAATCGAATGAGATTTGTGAGGCGCATATTTATCTGGTGCTTCCTTGTACCAATATTTATGTGTTTAAATAAATAAATAAATATGTAAAAGAAATTAACTACTGACAAATAACTTTCAATATATATACATATATCAGAAGGGGCTTTTGTGGAGATTTTGGTAATTATATAGTTGAAATCATGAGTCAATTGAAGCTAGACAACCATGGAAAACCTGGAAGTACTTGACGGCCATTTCGTCCTATTATGGGACTCCTAGAGTTCTAGTGAGAAGCAGTGACCAGTGAAGTTCGATCACATCTGTTGTGAGATATCAACTGACTTAAGACAATGATGAATTGTTGTTCAACTTCATGGATTGGTTGAAGTTAGAGATTAACACCGTTGGATACCTGCTCAGGGGTCTAATGGTTAAACGCTCGCGCGCGAGACTGATAGGTCCTTGGTTCGAATCTCGTGAGGTAGGATCTTGGATGTGCACTACCGAGGAATCCTACAACTGGACGAGAGGGTCGTCCAGTACTTTGAAGTTTTCCATTGTTGTCTAGCTTCAATTGACTCATGATTTCAACCATATAACATTTTAACTTTATATATTTATTTAAGTAGTAATAATTGTGATGATAGTAGTAATGAAAATATTTATAGTTATATTTGTCTTTGATATTGGTACATTTTTCTTTCAACACATATTAATTAGTGTATTTATCCAGGTTATGTAAATAAGATTGATAATTGAAAACGGATTAGTCATTCTGATGTATTCATAATACTCATCAAAATAATAATAATGAATAACTAGTATCTAATTGGTAAGTCTATTATTACTACTAACAGTAGTATATTATTTTAAAAATATGAAATAAATAACAAGTTTATTAATTTAAAGCGAAATTGAAAATAGAATCAAATTTAATTGAAAATATTATTTCTCCTTATTATAGACTGAATAATAGAAAAGTATAAATGATTAATGATTCTAGCTAATAGATTGAGAATGATTCAAACACATGAAGATACCATCATTATTGTATATGTGATAGAGAAAATATCAATTAAAACTATCAAGTTTCTATAGAAGTCTTAACATTGAAACTATGTATATAACTTATAATGAATCATACTAACTAAAAATTTTATAACCCCTTTTTGTAATTTTGTTACTGCTTTAAAAGAGAACGAATTCAGTAAGATATTTGTTCGAAATGCTCTCACATGGCCATGCGTAAATAGCCTCTGTCAAAAAAGTCCTACTCAGTGCCTTCTCACAGTGGCATTACTGTTGTTTATGAAATTGAAAGAACGAAAAGCGAATGTTCAACGCTTTAAATGGGTTGCTGGACACACAAAATCCATCTAGGGGAGTTGGAAAACCCTGATTCCAAACCAATGATGCACATGGACTCCAATATCCTGATGGAACAAATAGCGTATGAATGAATCGTTGGTCACTGTCTACCATGTGACTGCATCTCCTTACGATGCTCCACTACCTTATGTATCAGACCTTTAGGTCGAAGGCTCCGGGTGTGACCCTCTAAGAAAACCACGTGTTTCGGTTTGGGCTCCTGGTCAGTATCACAACCTCACGCCATTATGTATCGCATATATATCTGGTGCCCCCTTGTATCAATATTTATGTGTTCAAATAAATGAATAAAGTAAAATAGTTTGCAACTTATATGACGGATTGAGCTTAGTTAGACAACCATTGAAAACTACTTAACACTCGACAATCATTTCATTTTAGTATGAAAGTTCTTAGGAGTTCGCAACATGAATTCTATTGAGGACTGAACCAAGGATCTTCAGACCCTATAACCAGTGCTTAAATTTCAGACCCATGTGTTGACATCCAATAGTTTATGTTTCTAACTTCACTTAATTTGTAATATTGCACGACTGTCTTCTAATAATATTTTTATGGAA